TCTCTCTCTCTCTCTCTCTCTCTCTCTCTCTCTCTCTCTCGATAAGAAGATGGGCTGCCGGCTCGGGAGACAGAAAGAGACCATGCTCTTCCGGCACAACGACTTCCAACACCTGGAGGCTACTCTGGAGGGCCTCCGCTCTAGAGGAGCAGGATCGGCGCCGGCCAACATTTTCGTAGCGGTAGAAAGTGTGTACTCGATGGACGGGGACCTTGCGCCGCTGAGAGAGATACTAGGCGTCGCTGCTGCCCACGGGGCGTTGGTCATCGTGGACGAAGCTCACGGGTATGCGTGTCAGAGAGGGTAATACGCGGCCGCCCTGCGTGGGCACGTGTGGTAGAACTTGGCCTCCGTGTGGGTATGGGGGGTTTGGTGCTGGGTAGAAAGGCAATCAGTAGTCCGAGGCGTTACTGTTTGTTTGCTGCTCGGCGTCGGCAAACTTCTGTCTTATCCTTCTCGCGTCGTCTGTACAAATCTATTTGGTGTATGACCGTGACCCGCCCGACCTGACGGTGAGCATCATAGAGGGCGGCGATACCCTTAATCTACCGGCCGGCTTGGTGTTGCGTAGGAAGGCGATCCGTAGTTGTTGTGTGCTTCTCGGCTTCCGTAAACTTGAGGTGAACCTTCCTCCTGCGTCTGTTTCTGCTTGGCATATGATCGTACCCTCCCCCGACCTGGCGGTGAACGGCATCGGGGGCGGCGATAAAACAATCTTATTGGTCGGCCGTAGCACCGGAGTCTTCGGCGAACAGGGGCGAGGGCTGGTGTCGGCGCTGAACCTCGAGGCGCACCCCGCGCTTCTGGCCGGGATGCACTCGTTCGGGAAGGCCTTCGGCGCTCACGGCGCGGTTGTGGTCGGCAGCACCACGCTCAAGGACTTCCTGGTCAACTACGCCCGGCCGCTCATCTACTCCACGTCTCTGCCCCTAGACAGGTGGGAATACTGTAGGCGTTGCTTTTTTGTTGTTTTTTTGTTGTTTTGGTGTCCCCGCGTACGGGCATGTGCCCGCAGCAGCAGCAGCAGCAGCAGCACAAGGATTGCACTTTGAGTGTGTTGGTCTTGCAAACGTTGCCGCCTGTGCCATGCTTTCACTGGCGTCCGTTTGCTGGAGTTGGGGCATGACCCTCTGCGCGTTGAACGGAGCGAGGATGCTCGAGCTGATCTAGGCCGGACGCCGTTCAGACCACGACTGGTTGACGGTGCGACCTTTTCCGGTACGACCTCGCACGAGCGGAAGCAGGACAGTCACAAGGATCTGGTGTTGCTTTTGGTCGGTATATTCATGTTTCATCGACACCATATGGATACCCCCACCCCATCCGCCGGTGTGTCAACGTGCTCGATGTGTCAACAGCCTTGTACGGAGCCTCCATATACCTGGCCGCTATGCGGTAGTCAACTGTTGCTGATGGACGCGGCCTACCCCCCGCCCTTCCCGCCTCCCGTGCCTATTATCCACTGCGTCCCCCCCTCCCGAAAGTTTGGCGTGCATCCGATGCGCGTACCTGATGCAAGCGAGGGCCGACGACCGGCGAAGAAGAGTTCTGGAGTTGGCGGATAGGTTTCAAAGGTGATGACATTTCTTTTGGTCCTGCGCTTCAAACACGCCTCCACGGAATCCTTGGGGGGGATCACATCATGTTGGGATGTGTATGTGCCTCCCCCGCCCGGCTCTGCCACATAGGTACTTTTGGATCAGAGGCGGACATAGGGGCAGGGAGACAGTTGGCTCTGCATACGTGTCCCCGAAGCAGTAAGAGTCGTGAATCAAGCTTCCTTCTCTTTCGAATTCCGACGGAGCGTTCTTTCTCTACATCCAGGGGGGACGGGGGGGGCGTACTCTTATGCCTTGCATGCCTTAGCGGTTAGATCATTGACCACGCGTCCTCGAGAGGGCGGAGCATTGTTCCCACAGGACCGATCACCGATGGCCAATCGTTCCTTTCTACTTTGCCAAAGGTTGCTCAAAAATGTCTTCCCTAGTCTGTCTATCTTAACGATATCCCTTCCTGCCTTTTCAAAACACTTCCTACTTCCCAGTACAGCTGCCGTCCTTTGCTCACCCTTCCATGCTAACATCTCTCTGTACGTCCCATCTATTTTTCCCAGCTCCGTCATGTACACTTCCCTCTCCTTCTTGTACCATTGGGGGACGGAGGGGGGATTATTGCGCTCGGCCCCATCGATCAGCGGCTGTAAGACGGTGGAAGCGAGTTGACTGTGCTGCGAGCGAGCATACCCATCCCTGATCCACTCCTCTCAACTCTCACCTACCCTTAGCGCACCCATTCTTTAGCCCCTCCTCTCAGTAAGTACCGCCTAATCCATTCCTCCCACCCTTCCCATTGGCAACGCGCAGCCTCCTTAGCGATGCCGACGTCAACAGTTGGGCCGACGGCACCGCTCCCTCCCCCCCGTTGGACGCCAAGGACATCCCGCGCCACCGGTCGCCGATCCAGTCCGTCCTGATCGCAGGAAACGAGAGGTGCTTGCTCGTGGCTGACTCTCTCCGCGCCTTGGGCTTTGACGTGCGGGCGATCCGGAAGCCCACAGTCGCGGAGGGGACGGAGCGGCTGAGGATTACGCTGCACGCGTATAACACTGACGAGGAGGTGGGTGGTCGCACTTGAGTTCACCATGCGGATGGAATTCCTCGCTCCGTGCTTCCGGCTGCCGTAGGGTGCGTAAGATACCACACCCGATGAACCGATTTTCAAAGCCACGGCGAAGAGGATGCCAAATGTGATGCGTTTCCGAAAAGGTCTCGAGTAGACGGTTCCAACGTCGTCATTTTCGTCATCGCTACTGTTTTTGTTGCCCAATACAGTATTCTGTGAGGGTGGCCTCAAATTGTCTCGTAGATCGTGACGTGTCAGGTGACCTGTCGGAGATCTACAACCTTCGGGATGTTGCCACAGATTAGATGAGAGCCAGTGGAACACGCTGAGACCAAAAACAAGTACAGAAGGCCAGTTTCTTCCTCTCTCTCTCTCTGCGTCAACCTACGTTACCGTACATCAGTTCTTCCTCTCTCACCAGTGATTAATACCAGGGCGCCCCCTCGCACCACACATTCTGCGAGAAACCGGAGCCACAGCCCCTGGAGACATCCGTCTCAAATCTGTCTGGCGCATATGAGAAGGGGTTATCCAGACTCTCGCTGTGGCTACAGTTTCTTGTAGGATGTGTGGTGCCCTGTATCAATCACTGGTAAGAGAGGCCGAGCAGGTGTACGGTAACGTGGGTTGTCGCAAGAGAGAGGGAGGAAGAAGCTGGCCTGCTGCGCGTTCAGCGTGTTCCACTGGCTCTAATCTGTGGCAACACCCCGAAGGTAGATCTCCGACGGGTTATCTGACGTCATCATCTACGAGACACGCTGAGTGGTACGTTCACCACTCGAGCTTAAACAGTCTGCCCGGCGCGTGTGGCATCTTATGCGACCCAAGGTAGCAGTAACTCGTCCCTCCTGACGTGCTCAAATACGAAATAGGAAAAGATAAGACCGCCCCCGAGAGGCCATGAACGTTCTGCTCCTCTTCGTTGTGGTCGTTTTGTTCGCGGCTTGCCGTTGATTGGCCCATTCGGCAGGTCGAGTCCCTGGCGCGGCACATCCGGCGGCTGGCAGCGAACAAAGGCAGTAGTGCCGACAAAGCTCGTGCGAGGACCTCGGAGGGAGATGAAGGGGGCACGAGGGCAAGCGGGGGGGCTTTAGCGAGGGATTCGATTGTGCTTCTGGGAGAAGCTGCTACTCGAGCTCGACTGTGATGAAGCAAACGGGCGTGTTTTTTGTAGTTTTGCTGGTTTGACGGCTCCATGTGATTCGATGGATGCTTTGGGTATGACATCTCGGGGGTGAAGAGAGCTCACCTCTGCTGTAACTGCATGTGTTGCGGCAGTCGCTGTACGCGGAACGGCGATTTTGGAGTATGAACCCAAATTTTCGCGTGTGGGTCTCACTTGGCGACGTGTTAATTCAATGTTTGCAGCCATCTGAACCGTCGGCAGAGGCAACGAGGCGGGGCGGGGGATATATATGCTATTTAGTAGAATCCTCTCTTTTTGGCCTGTTTCAGTGCTCCGCGCGTCGGGCGGACAGAGCAAAGAATGACGTTGGCTTTCATCCGGTTGCATTGATGTTTCGATGCCCCTGTGCTCGGTATATAGCTGGATTCCCTCGTTATACTCAACATGAAGCACACATATGCAGAAGACCATGCATAATGCTGTTTGAGATTCACATGTTTTTTCTGCAGACATGTTCTTTATTTTTTAGGAAGGTGTACCCCCCCCCGACTATGGGGGGCAGTTGGCTTGTGACCACGGAAGGCGTCCGCGTCAGTTGGACCAGCACGGACATTAGAAGGTACTGAGTGGAGATCGGAACGGTTTTTAATGTGAAAACAACATGTCTACAAGTATGTGTGCAAGCTTGCTTGTGTTTGCGAGCGCTGCGCGTTTTTTTTTTTTTGCGCCTCCTATTATCTCCTCTGATCCATCATTTTTTTTGGGGGGGCTTAAATGTGATCTCTCTCTCCTCCGCATATACGATGCACACTATGTAGACTACTGTACGCCATCTCATGAATTGTTATCTCCCCCAGACAACGTACCAGTCAGTGCCATTTGGCATCCGAGTGATGACTCGTCGCGTTTTTCACACTTCAAACAACGAACATAATGCCGCTTACAACACGGCCAAAACATCACAACAACAAAACTATTTCTGTTCAGTGTCAAGACTTTCAAGGCGTTCCTTCGGTTCGCATCTTGGAGGGGCCGTCCGCCGTCCTCCGACAGCAGCGCCAATGTTAGCCTGTTCTCTTGACTGCTACATAGGTTGAGAGGGGACGAGCTCTGTCACATAGATAGGTTGAGAGGGGACGAGAAAAAAAAAAGTTATCCACTCCATTAAGTTCCGCCGCATTTTTGCCGTGTGCAAGCGTACAAGCAGTACGTACAACTGGTGTCGGAACGGCGTTAGCACGGATAGCTAACCACGCCGAGCCCACATCACAGCATCATGCAGGGCTACGACAGGATCCCGGAGGGTGCTTCACCAGGGGAGCCGGATGTGCAGGTGCCCTCCTGATATCAAGTCGCTCGCGAAACTCGAGTTGTTCTCGTGACAATTGACCCTTTCATGACCGCAAACTGGCTGCCTGCTGCAACGTGTTCATTCGTTCTTGCCAACTTGCTGTTGTTGCTGCTGTCGCCGGGATGGATCGCAGGCGGCGCGCGAGGAGGGCAATGTACGAACCCCCCTACGCAGCAGCAGCGGCTCTGCGGTAGAGGAACAAGGCGGTGAGACTCGTCACAGGTGAGAGGTCGCTGTTCGGGACCATTTTTCAGATCGATCAGCGGTGCAATTTCGGCGGACTGCTGTCGAGTTGTGCACCAGAGAACTGTCGCGCAGGCGGCATGAGCTCACCGTGGTGGGGGGTTCGCCACGGCCTCGTCGCTCTTTTCCGTTGCTGCCCAACGGGAGTTTCGTCGTGGGGGTGCTTTTGAGTCAATTAGTCCAGATTGCAGTTGGAAAGTACCAGAGCTGGGTGCAGACTGCTCAAGTCAACCATTTGTGACTCAACCACCGCTAACAACTCTGCACTCGCGGGGCATGCGTATGCGTGCATGCACGAAACCATACGGTGGTAAATGTGTTGCGTTCGCTTGTCTCAGCCCGACACTCCTGTATATTGTGACGTCTCAACTCCTGTAGATTGTGATAACTCAACTGATGTTGTTGTGTTACTAGGCCCCACTCGGTAAATGCAAGGGTTGCATGTCTTGTGACGTGTGGCACGCTCCTGGTCCAGTGGTAAAACACGCAGTACGAGCACGGCTGCTGCGCTGTTCTTTGCTCCTTCCACACCTGCCACCACAACTGACCGTTGCCGAGCCGACTGTGGGTACGGTATTATTTTCGTGCGATCAATCAAGGACCATGTCTCCCCCGCAAACAGGTCATGGGCGAGCCCCGCCAGACCCCCATGTCTCCGTTTCCCTGCTGTCCCAAACACAGTAGCTCGACCACCTCCACCGCCTTCGCTTTTGGAACCCTCGTCCAACTAAGTCTTATGGAGGGTTTCCTAACCTCAAAGATGTAGGACCGTTGGTTTCAATACACAGCTTCTCCAGTATTCATGACTGACCTCGCTACGCACCACCGGCGTCCCTCCCAGCAGGAGGCTCGCCGTTGTGGTACCTATCGGAGTTCTCAGCGTGCTCGGCGTTCTTTTGATAACGTCGGGGGGTGGGAGTCGACAGCTGCGGCAGGAGCCGGAAGCTGGTTCGCCCGCCAGCCTTGAAAGCCAGCACTCGGTTGCTGGGGTGTCTGTGTTCGAGAGCTCCTTGCACGATGGGACGAGGCTTGACCAGGGCTTCCCTGCCCCCGCGAGCTTGAAACAGGTCAGGCGTCGATTCATGAGTTTTGTACCGTAGGCTACGTAAGATACCACACTCCCCGGACCTTTTTTCTAGTCGCGCCAATGCTATTACCGTATATTACACAAGATAACACACCCCCTTGACCGATTTTCGAGGCTCGATACAACACTGCTGTATGTCGGCAGGAAGAGCAGGTGACGGTGCCGAAAATGGATGCGGCGTTGCAACCGTGTCGTTGAGAGCTTTCCGAAAACGTACTTCAATTTCGGCATCTTCTTCGCCGTGGAGTAATCGAGATTTGGAAATCGGTCCAGGGGGGGTGGTATCTTACGCAACCCATGGTACCGGGAGATCGCGTTTGATACCCCTGGACCCGGTTTCCTCAAGTACTCTGCAGTGGGCCAGTGATGGTGCCGGAATAGGCGGCGATGGGAGTGCTGCCTCGTCGAGAGTTGTTGTCCGATAACGTGCCATTTGATTGTGTCGCCCCCTCTTGCTGTCGTGAAATGAACCCCAAGGAGTAGCATTGGAAGTATTGTGTCGACTACTGTACCGGGAAAGCATGCTCTAAAGAGAGACGTTTTCTAGCACTGATACACTCTCGTCGTCGTCCGTGCCACGCCGGACGGGGTGGTACAGCAGTATGTCGCACACCGACCTATTTTTCTCCAAGCCCTTGTCCGTCATCATCGTCATCGCCGTCGTCATTGTTGTTGTTGTTGTCTTCACTCACAAACCGTTCCGGTATCTGGTCAGTACAGCAGTACCTTCTAGTGTCCGTTTCGGTGCACCTGACACGGATGCCGTGTTTCGTCAAAAGCGAATAACGAGGCCATGAGCCAAGACACAACGCAACGATATTGTTCGGTTGTGTCCTTCCAAGTAGAAACAGCACAAACTATTTTGATTCGTTCCAAAACACCCATGTCTCGTGGCTTGTCCTCATGTCTTGGTTCTGTGTTGCGATGGTTGTGTCTCGATAATCCTTACCTTTACCAGGAGTGTATTCTAGTCGCGCCAATGCTATTACCGTATATGACACAAGATAACACACCCGCTTGACCGATTTTCGAAGCTCGATTTCTCAACTGCAGGAACAGTCACAGCGCCGAAAACGGCGGCGTTGAAACCATCTCGTCGAGAGCTTTCCGAAAATGTATCGTTTCGTTAGTTCATCCTCTTCGTCGTGAAGTAGTCGAGCTTTGAAAATCGGTCCAGGGGGTGTGTTATCTTGTGTCATATACGGCATTGCAATGACCACGCCCTGTCGAACAATTCATTCCTTTGTCGTGGTTCCTTCTTCCATGAAGCATGGGAATTGGACGATGAATTTCTTGTTCAAATTTCCACATGGATGTCAGGAACAATGTACCAGGATTTGTTTGCAGCCGTTGAAGAAATGTACGTATGATATCACCATTCTCCGATGACGCAACCTAGCCCGCACGATGATACTCCCCCGTTCCCTTGACTTGTCCCCCAACCTTGCAGGAATGCCGCCGCCGCCGCCGCAGCAGCAGCAGCAGCAGCTCACCCGACGATGGCAGCAGCGACAGCGAGGAGGAGGAGGTCACAGCGGTCTGCGCAGAGAGGGGCGTGTCTGGGACGGTGGTGGTGGAGTCGGACGAGAAGCTGCAGGAGATGATCGGATTCGGTGGGGCTTTCACCGACGCCGCCACGATAAACTTCTTCAAGCTGCCGGAGGATGTTCAGGAGCAGGTGATGGGGTGCCTCCGGTGCTGCTGCTGCTGCTGCTGCTGCTGCTGCTGCTGCTGCTGCTGCTGCTGCTTGGTTTTGGCTGCCTGCGGCGGCAGTGTTGTGTTATCTCGCGCTCATGAAAAGGCCAACTATGACAATGAGAAGTTGTGGATTCATCCGGCAGCTTCTTCCCTACACTTGTTGTGAAGACGACACTCACCTCGATTGAAGCATTATCTCCAACGGGTATTTCCGTTATTGCATGTTCTTTGTATGAAGGTGGTAGAAGGGATGGCGACGTCACTCCTTCCAATGATGACGTCACCCCTTTCTGGACGCTTGGAATTGGTAGATTCAGCGTTTTCACGTGCGTTTTCGTCTCGCCCCCATCAACGCAAACAACAAGAGCATGGTAGACGGCTGATGACGAAACTCCTTCCGATGATGACGATACTTCTTCCCGTTCTCTTGGAAGTGGTAGATTTAGCATCTACACTCTTGACCTTCCTCGCGCTCTTGATGATGATGATGATGATGACGATGATGATGCAATGTGGTCTGACCGGCAGGTGATGGACGCGTACTTCGGACCCAACGGCATCGAGTACAGCGTCGGCCGCATCCCCATGGGCAGCTGCGACTTCAGCGTGGAGCAGTACAGCTTCGACGAAGTGCCGGGAGACTACAACCTCACGCACTTCGATGATGGCGTGGAGAAGGACACCGCTCAGAGGGTAAGGGGGCTCCGAAGAATAGAACAGGGGGTGGGGGGGCTGTTGTACCGTCGCTGTTGTTGTTGTTGCTGCTGCTGCTGCTGCTGCTGCTGTTGACGTTGTTATCTTGACGTTCACAGCCCGTGCTAGAATCTTTAACAGTCCAATCGGTGTGTTGTTGCTGTTGTCTTAACCTTAACAAGCCATTCCGGTCTCCCCCAACACCTTCCGATGTGGTTTGTACTGGTCCAACTCCCCCAAAAGGAGTTTACCCTTGTAGAAAAGTGGCTTCGTTTTCGTCCTATATGGAACACCTTTGTGTTTTTTTTTCATGTGTTTTCTTTCCCCACCAGATCCCGATGCTCCTCTCGGCCCTCGCGCGCCGGGAGGACCTGAAGCTCTTCGCGTCTCCGTGGAGCCCTCCCGCATGGATGAAGGTGTGTTCGTTCGCGAAAAACTGCGTAGCCCGTGGTTGATGGTGATTTGTTGCTGCAGCGGTCGTCGCTAATCTTGTTTTTTGTGTCTTCGGTCAGCAACCTGTACCTTCGACCGCGGATCAGAGCTGGTGACGATGATGATGATGTTGTTGTCCACGAGTTGTTGTTGTTGCTGCTACTGCTGCTGCTGCTGCTGCTGCTGCTGCTGCTGTAGCTGTTGCTACTGTTGCTGCTGCTGTTGCTGCTGCTGTTGCTGCTGCTACTGGTGTTACCCATTTGTCCTTGTTGTCGTTGTTGTTGTTGTTGTTGCTGCTGCTGCTCGTGATGATGTTGTTTTCCATATGTTGTTGCTACTGCTGTTGCTGCTGATGTTAACCCATTCGTTGTCGCTGTTTGTGGTTGTGTCTCCGTCGTGGGAGAGCAGGAGCCGAAATACGGAGTTCAGAGCATGATCGAGAGCGCTTTGCCGCAGGGACTGCTGGCGGACCCCGGGGTACACGCTGCATGGGCACTCTTCTTCAGCCGCTTCATATCGGCCTACAAGGAACAGGTACCGTCCGTGGTGTGTTTGTTGTCGTTGTCGCTGTTCTTCAAGGGTGTACTGATAAGGGTTTATCTATGGTATATTTTCCTGGCAGGCAGTGTTGTACGCAGCGAGGGTCGGCTTTCCTTTCGCCGTGTTGTTTTCGCCCCACGCACAGGAGAGCTTTTGGCTGGAGATTTGTCCATAGAGTAGCATACAGTGTTGCGCTTCCGAGGGGGCGGGAGGGGAGAGATTTTCTGCCACGATCAATTCAACCCCCTCGTTTTCTCCGCCGTCCCGCCATTTATTTAGGCGATAAGGCGTTTCACACGTACACGTCGCTGTCCACACGTGTAGTATGGCTAGACGAACCACCAGCACTGTTTTGTCGCTGACCGACCCCCCCCCCCCCCCCCCCCCCCCCCCCCCCCCCCCCCCCCCCCCCCCCCCCCCCCCCCCCCCCCCCCCCCCCCCCCC